GGTCAAAAGTACCCTTTGTCTGGTCCGGCAGGCTTCGTTGGAGGGGGTGTGTTGAAAGTCCCACATCGCCTACCTCATCATTTGGTATGGTTTAAATACATGTTAGGCTACTCCACATATTGCCAATTGGTTTTATGTTGGAACCTTAACATGGTATCGAGCTTAAGGTCTCTTGGGATTTTTTTTCGGCTCGCATCGAACCTGCAGTTGCCGCCGCCTCCATCGCCGCCGCCGTCGCCAGAGTAGCAGTTCAGACCGCCGAGCACAGGGTTTTGCTCGCCTCCTCCGTGCGACCTCCACCGTGGAAGTTTCGCGGTCATCGGAGCAGCCACGCTCCCTCACGCGCCTCCCGAAGCCGCGCCACCTTCTCCCGTTCCGCCGTGCGTGGCGGCGCGTCTCGCCGCCGTTCAGGCCGCCGATCTTTGCGTCGGCGTCGCCTCCTTCTCCTCTCTCTGGATCTGTCCTGCTCCAATCGGACCTCTTTGGTGTTTTAGGGTTTTTCTCTCTCTTCCTCCATGGCATCTTCCGCTGCCACTTCCAATCTGAAGTTACCTCGGTCGACTCTGGTGGGTCCGAGCAACTGCTTTTTACTAATTATGTCAATGTGAATTTACCCATTGATAAATTAGATGGTACGAATTATGCAACTTGGGCATCCGATATTAGACTTTGGCTTGAGAGTCGGGGGTATGTTGATCATCTTACTACCAAGGTAGATGATGTTCCTTCCAATGATCGTGTCCGTTGGAAGAAAGTTGATGCTCATATATGTATGGTTCTCAAGAATACCATCCAATCTTCTTTAAAACAAATTTTTCGATCGTATGGCACATGTTATGACGTTTGGGAACAAGCCAAATTATTATACACCAATGACACTCAACGTCTTTATGGTGTTTGTTACAATCTTCTTGATGTTATTGCTCCTCGAGATAAGGATCCTGTGGCGGATTATGTGGGTAAGATCCATGCTCTTCTCCATGAATTTAATGAGTTATTACCCCCTGCCTCAACTCCTGCCCAAGAATTAGAGCAACGATCAAAGTTTTTCATGGTTTTGATGTTACACGGACTTGCTGATAAATATGCCCCTGTTCGTGACCGGATTTTGGGTTCCCCTGTTACACCCGGTTTACCGCTACCAGTTCCTCCCTTTTGCGGGTGCCATGTAAACCTCTCAATATTCCTCCTGTAGTTTCTAATGATTCATCTCGCCTTGGCCTCTCACCGTGATGATCGTAATCGCTCTCACAAGCCAGGCAAAGGGCGTGTCAAGTGTGACCATTGTGGCAAACTAGGCCACAAAATTGACAAATGTTATGCTTTACATGGTTATCCTCGCCGATCTGCTGCAGTTGCTCAGACTGATTCTTCCGCACAATCCTCTGCTGTGGATCCTCCTTCGTCTGTACCTTCAGACAAATCTGCTATCTTCAATGATTTTCTTCAATGGTATGAGGATCGAAAGCCCTCCGGTTCCACTACTTCGTTGCCCACACAGGTACATCTTTTGTCGGTCCGACTCACTCTTCTTCTATTGGCCCTTGGGTTCTTGACTCGGCGCCACCGATCACATCACTCGGTAACAAATCCTTATTTTCCTCTTTCACTTCTTCTCATAATTTACCCTCTGTTACAATGGCTAATGGGTCTACAACTTTAGCTCATGGTGTTGGAACGGTTACTCTTTTTCCCTCGTTGTCCATTGATAATGTTTTGTATGTACCCGGGTCCCCCTTTAACTTATTATCCATTAGCCGTCTAACTCGATCTCTTGATTGTGTTATCTCTTTTACCAAAACTTCTGTTTCCCTACAGGACCGGAGCTCGCAAAGAGTGATTGGCACCGGATGTGAGTCACATGGACTTTATTATCTTCAACCTTCTCCACATGTTGGCACGGTTATGGAGTCTCCTTCTCTCCTTCATGCTCGGCTTGGTCACCCCGAGTCTGCGCAAATTACAAGCAACTTGTTCCCAGCTTATCCCAGTTGTCCAATTTGGTGTGTGAGTCCCGTCGATTAGGCAAACATAGTCGTACTTCCTTTTCTCGTAGTGTTTCCCAGCGTGCTTCATCCCTCTTTGCCTTAGTTCACTCTGACATTTGGGGACCCAGTCGTGTTAAGTCTAATTTAGGTTTTCAATATTTTGTTATTTTTATTGATGATTTCTCTCGTTGTACTTGGTTACTTTTAATGAAAAATCGTTCTGAGTTGTTTTCTATATTCCAAAACTTTTATCATGAAATTAAAAATCAATTTGGTGTCTCTATTCAAACTTTTCGAAGTGATAATGGCCGTGAATATCTTTCAAACTCGTTTAAACAATTTATGGCTTCTCATGGCATTCTTCATCAAACTTCCTGTGCTTATACCCCTCAACAAAATGGGGTGGCTGAGCGCAAGAATAGACACCTTATTGAAACAACCCATACTCTTTTAATTCATGGTGAGGTTCCTCAACATTTTTGGGGTGATGCTTGTTCTTACTGCTCGTTATCTTATTAATCGTATGCCCTCTTCGGTTTTAGATAACAAAATTCCCCATTCTATTTTATTTCCTCATGACACTCTCCATCCTTTACCTCTCGAAGGTTTTTGGGTCTACCTGTTTTGTCCACAATTTTGATCCTGGTCATGATAAGTTATCTCCTCGATCACACAAATGTGTTTTCTTAGGATTTACTCGATCCCAAAAAGGATACAAGTGTTTTTCTCCTTCTCTTAATCGCTATTTTGTGTCTCGCTAGATGTCACCTTCAATGAGTTTTCCTTTTACTTTAAGGACCCTTCCCTACCTGCTGAGTCTCCATCTCGCTACAGCTTCCCATTCCTCGTTCTCATTGATCCTTATGTTGAGGACCATCCACCATTAGCCCCTCCTCCTCCACCACCCCTTCAGGTTTATAGTCGCAGACCTCGCCCACAACAGACGCCACATGACTCACTCCCGATGCCAAATACTCGCCTCCTCCGGTTCCGTCCACGAGTCCGACCTTCCTATTGCCCTTCGTAAAGGTACGCGTTCTACTCGTAATCCTTCTCCACATTATACCTGCTTTAAGTTATCATCGAATTTCTTCACCATTTTATACCTGTCTCTCGTCTATTTCTTCCGTGTCTATTCCTAAATCTGTCTCTCGAAGCCTTAGCCCACCCTGGTTGGCGTCAGGCCATGCTAGATGAACTCGGTGCTCTTCGGACTAGTGGAACCTGGACGCTTGTCCCATTACCATTTGGAAAATCTGTTGTTGGTTGCGGGTGGGTCTTCGCTATCAAGGTTGGTCCCGATGGTACTATTGATCGCCTCAAAGCTCGCCTTGTAGCCAAAGGCTATACCCAAATTTTTGGGTTGGATTATGGTGATACTTTCTCTCCAAGTGGCAAAGATGGCTTCGTTCGTTTATTCATTGCCATGGCCGCTATTCAACAATGGCCTCTTTATCAACTCGGATGTCAAAAATGCTTTCTTGAATGGCGATTTGCAAGAAGAGATTTATATGGAGCAACCTCCCGGATTTGTTGCTCGGGGGAGTCTTCTCGGATTGGTATGTCGTCTTCGCAAATCTTTATATGGCCTAAAACAGTCTCCTAGGGCCTGGTTTGGAAAATTTAGCAGCGTTGTTCAACAATTTGGCATGACTAGAAGTGAGGCGGACCACTCGGTCTTTTACCGTCACTCGAATGCTCGGATGTATCTATTTGATAGTGTATGTCGATGACATTGTTCTTACAGGTAGTGACCATCATGGCATCTCTCGGATGAAACAACACCTTTGCCACCATTTTCAAACCAAAGATCTTGGCAAACTCGGATATTTCTTGGGTATTGAGGTAGCACAATCTACCGATGGCATTGTTATATCTCAAAGAAAGTATGCATTGGATATTTTGGAGGAAACTGGATTGATGAATTCAAAGCCCGTTGACACACCCATGGATCCTAATACCAAACTCTTGCCAAATCGGGGGAGCCAATGTCGGATCCCGAACAAGTATAGAAGATTAGTTGGAAAATTAAATTATCTTACAGTTACTCGCCCCGACATTTCCTTTGCGATCGAGTGTGGTGAGTCAATTCCTCAATTCTCCTTGTCAAGATCATTGGAATGCAGTCATCCGTATATTGAAGTACATCAAAAAGTCTCCTGGAAAAGGTTTGGTGTATGACTCCCATAATCATACAAGAGTTGTCTGCTATTCGGATGCTGATTGGGCAGGATCTCCCTCTGATAGAAGATCTACATCTGGGTATTGTGTTTCCATTGGTGGTAACTTGATCTCATGGAAAAGTAAGAAACAAAGTGTTGTGGCAAGATCCAGGTGCAGAAGCGAGTATAGAGCTATGGCCTCGGCTACCTATGAACTTATTTGGCTCAAGCAATTGCTTAAAGAGCTACAATTTGGAGATGTCACTCAAATGACACTAGTGTGTGACAATCAGTCGCTCTCCATATAAGCTCTAATCCTGTCTTTCATGAGAGGACTTTGAGATTGATCTGCCATTTTATTCGGGAAAAGATTATGTCTGGAGACATCAAGACTGAGTTCGTTAACTCATGTGATCAATTAGCAGATATTTTCACTAAGTCTTTACGGGGACCTAGGATGGATTATCTTTGTACCAAGCTAGGCACATACGATTTGTATGCTCCAGCTTGAGGGGGAGTGTTAGATATGATTAGATATTAGTTGATATTGTTTTGTTGAGATATTGTTAGATATTGTTAATCACAATATCAAATAATATCTTTTTATTTACCCTATTTGTATTCTGTTACTCTTTTGAGGAGTACCTTTCTTTATTATAAATACACTGCCCTATGTGTGGTAAATACATAAGGGAAATTAACCCTATACAGTTTTTCCCTATATTCAACAGTATTAAAATAATAAAATAAAATTTCATTTAATCTAATTTTCCAGAAATATCAAAATTAATTTTAAACCCCATTTTTAAGTTTTAGTGAACAGATCAAGAATATATAAACAAATTGAGACATGGAATGCAGAATGGAAACTTACATCCGACCATCCATCAGTTGTGTTCTTCACTATTTGGACAGGCCTGCAGTAAAATCCACAATCTGTAGTCAAGAAATACTTAAAAGACAGTCATCAAAATTCTAGATTACCAACATAGTAATTCAAGGGTAGGGATTCATTATTTAGAAACCTTTTACTTACATATCAACAGGGCAGAGCAACAAACAGTCATCTCCTTGAGAACTCGTGAACTCTCTCCTTACAACACACTCTAAGGGAAGGTTATTAGCCGGATCAACCTGTTTATCAAATCATTCATAATTTGTCACACTCCTAAAAACCCAAGAACGTTGGATTGCATATTCGATCAATAACTTACATTATTCCATATTCTGTTGAGAAATGTGAATATTTCACTTGCATATATATATATATGAATCAGCTAACACACAACCTAATACAGTAACTTTTTTTCCTAAAACCTTCAAGTCTAACCTTCCACAAAAATCCCTAAACACGAACCAAACAGAAAAGACACCTACTACAAATCCATTATTACCTAAGCCTAACACACAAACCACCAAAACTCTAAATCCCGCTTATCTGAGTGAAAGAAGGGCTAAAAGCCTCTACTATTTTTGTGACCAACCTTTTACCCTCAAACTTACCCTCACCCACAAAAAACTACATATACATGTCATGGAAATAGAAATTCGTACTACGTCAAAAGAAGAAGAAACTGAGGAAAGAGGAATTGCATCAGTTGAACCTCAAATATTTGTAAATGTGTTGATTGGTGTTCCATGTTTTAGAACGATGAGTTATAGGCTACTACAAAAAGAAACTTATCCACATTCTCATTGACAATCGCAGCATACATAATTTTCTTGATGTGGAGGTAGCTAAAAAGTTAGGGTGTACAATTAAAGATCTTAAGTCCTTACATATAATTGTAGTAGATGGTAGTAGATTGAGTATTACATATGTTGTTAACAATTTAAATAGACAATTCAAAATATTGCATTTTGCTCTGACATGATTTTGATTTTGCCTGGGTATTGTGACGTAGTCTTGGGCATAGAATGTCTGATTACTTTATGGGATATCACATGAAATTTTGATAAACTAAGTATGGAGTTCAAGGCATAAGGAAGAAAGTATGTTTTAAGAGGGGCGTCTTCCTCTGGAGTATTTACAATCAAACAACAACAATTGAGAAAAACCTTAGCTAAGGGTATACACCTATCCATGTTGCAGGTTTGTAATGAAAGCAGTATTCTTTTACTCCCTAACAACTCATGTCGAGACACAATCAACCCCTGCTCCTATACAACAGTTGTTATCTAGTTTCCAGGACCACCCATGACGCAAGGTTTTGATCACAAGATACAATTATTGGAAGGTAATAATCTTGTTAACAAGAGGCCATATAGATATGCTAACAATAAGAAGGATATTATTAGTCGCTTGGTTAAAGATTACTTGAAGTCAGGGATCATTCAGAAAAGAGTCTTTCACAAGTCTAGTTGTCTTGGTAGGCAAGAAAGATGGATCTTGGCAATTGTGTGTTGACTATAGGGATTTAAATAAGGCTACAATTAAGGACAAGTTCCCTATTTCATTGGTAGAGGACTTATTAAACAAGCTACACACGCCACAATTTTCTCCAAAATGACTTGAGATCCAGATACAATCATGTGAAGATGGATCCTGATAATATCAACAAGACTGTATTCCGAACACATGGAGGCCACTTTGAGTATCTAGTAATGTTTTTTGGACTTACTAATGCACCAACAACCTTCCAAGAGTTGATGAATGAAGTCTTTAAGGTCTCTTTAAGGAAATTCCTTCTGTTTTTTTTTTTTTAAGATATTTTGATACACAACAACGGTTTGAAATGGCACTTGCCTAAAAAGGCATATCTATTGACCCAAGTAAAATAGTTGCAATTCAGAATTGGCCATTGCCTCAAAACATTAAACAACTAAGAAGTTTCTTCGGCTTTGCAAGCTATTATAGGAGGTTTGTGAGACACCGGGAGTATTGCTAAACCCCTCACTGACATGCTTAAAAAAGACAGTTTCATGTGGACTCATGAAGCCAAATTGCCTTTCAACAATTGAAATTGGGGTTAGTTCAAGCCCCTATCCTAGACTTGCCCAAATTTGATAAACATTTGTAATTGAAGTCAATGCTTTGGACCTTGGTATTGATGTTGTATTAATGCAAAACACTCATCCTATTGCATACATCAGTAGAAGATTGAACCAACAACAAGCCCTGGAAACATGTGAAAAAGAATTGATTGCAGTAGTTTTCTCAGTCCAATAGTAGCGACATTACCGTCTAAATAGGCATTTCATAATCAGAACTGATCATTGCAACCTAAATTCATCCTGGACCAAAAGGTTGACCACTGCTTTCCAACAAAAATGATTGGTGAAGCTAATGGAATTTGATTTCTCCATTAAATACAAGCAAGGAAAAGAAAACATGGTAGCCAATGCCCAATCTAGAGTTGATTTTGCCAAACTACAGGCCCTCACTGTACATATGTTAGAGTCAGACTTATTAAACAGAATGCAAACTTGGTTGACTGATCCAGCCGTAAAGAAGCTCATTCAAGAGATAGAGAAGGACTCTAACTCTCATAAGCACTACATATGACAAAGATCTAAGTTGAGTTGAGAAGAAAAGGTAGACTAGTCATTGGGAAGGATGCAGCCTTAAGAAGAGACATCATGGCTTAGCTCCACACTACAGCTAGCTGGTCATTCAGGCCAACATGTCACCCTGAAAATAATGAAAGGAGTTATCTACTGGAAGGGCATGTTTAAAGAAGTAAAAGAATTTGTACAGCAATATAGCACTTGTCAACGGTGCAACGCTGAAATAATAGCATCCCCTAGCCTCTTACAACCTCTTCCAATACCCGACATGGTTTGGCAACACATAACCATGGATTTCATAGAAGGACTTCCTATGTATTTTGGCAAAGAGGTTATACTTGTTGTGGTTGATAGATTAAGTAAGGTTGTACACTTCATGAGTTTGGTTTGCCCTTACAATGCTGGTGAGGTGGCTTGAGTATTCATAGATACGGTCTTTAAATTATTGCATGGTTTCCTTGAATCTATCACAAGTGATAAAACACAATTTTATAAGTCAATTTTGGCTGGAATTGATGGCTTTTCAAGGTGTGCAGATCAACCTATCTTCAGCTTACCATCCTCAAACCGGTGGTCAAAGTGAAGTAGTTAATGGATGTTTAGAAATATATTTGAGATGCATGTGTTCGAACAACCCTCAACAATTGTCCAAGTGGCCACCTTTGGTAGAATGGTGGTATAACACCTCCTTTCACAACTCTATTCAGCCTACCCCTTATGAAGTTGTTTATGGTCGTTCTCCACCTACTCACCTTCCCTACCTACCTGGTGCTTCTACAATTGAATTGGTGGATCACAAATTGAATAAAAGAGAACAAATGCTCAAGTTACTTAAGTTTCATCTAAGAAGGGCTCAAAATAGAATGAAACAAAGATGAACACAAATTTAACAGACAATTTGTAATTGGAAACTTGGTTTATGTGAAACTGCATCCTTGCAAACAAGTTTCAATTACGAATAAGTAATGCTAAACTGGCTCCTAGAATTTTTGGTCAATTTCCTGTGTTGGAGAAGATTTGGGAGTTGCCTAGAAGATCAAGTTACCACCTCCGTCAAGGATTCATAATGTTTCCATGTTTTACAATTGAAGAGGCATGTTGGAGAAGGTGTCAACTCAATTACACTTCCAGCAGGTGATGAAGGTCCAATTTTAGTTAAAGAACCTGAGATGATATTAGACAAGATGACAGGAAAAAGTAGAGGGCAAGCAGCAACAAAGGTCTTGGTGAAATGGAAGCATTAGCTAGTAGAAGATACAAGCTGGGAGTTTTATTATGATGCAGAAATATTCTCATTTCAAGCCTTGAGGCCAAGTCTTGTTCGGGGGAAGAGTGTTCTAATTGTGAATATCCTTGAGCACAAGGATCTTTTGATGGAGGAGGAATTGATTCATAACCATTTAGTGGTGCATTTTAATTGGTTGTAACGGCCTAATTAGTTAAAGCCTATAAATAAAAATTGAGCTATACGAGTTGTAACTAAATTTCGCATTCTTTCTCAATACTGAGATCATTAACACTTGTATTTCTTTCTTCCATAGGATTCCCTGATCTCTGTTCTACGAATTCAATAAGAATCTCTAGTTTATACTTTCACTCGTAACAATATCCCTAAGCTCACATTTCTCATACTTTTGTTTGAAATATAATTAGACCATAATTGTCGTTTTAGTTCTGATTAATTTTTAAAAAAATTGAATTAACTAACTAATATTACAATCATTGATTAATACTTATATATTATTAAAATCTTTACCATTCTCCGACTCGCACAGCATTTGATGAAATAACAAAAAAATTAACTCTGTCATTCCAATTTATAACAATCTCAACAACCAAAATTGCAGAATGACGGGAAATAATTGTTCATAACAATCACACAACAGATATTTTGAATGCAAAACCACAAGTTACATATTTATTGAATCCAAGAAAGAACTCACTAGAGTGGCGAGTCGGTCTCTCGAAGCGGTGAGAACTTTGCCGCGTTCATCGACGACGAATCCCGCTGGTGGTTTGGGAAGTGACGTCGGAAGAGGAGGCAGCGGAGAAAGATTGTAAACGGAGTTGGAATCAGCAGTTACAGCTTTGCTCTTACTATTCTTTTTCTTTTTGTTGTTGTTTTTCGAGTTTCTGTTGTTAGAAGAACGCTTCTTAGGCGGAACGGTGGGAGACTCTGAGGCTCTGCAGATGACAGGATGGAGCGCAGGGTTTGGAAGCGAAAGCAAGGGGAAACGCGCTTGGTTGAGCTTCGATGGAAGAAGAAATGGCAATTCGAGTCGTAGGGAGGAGGGAAGAGCGTTGAAGGTTGGTGTCGCCATTTTGGTGTAAATATCTCTGCAACCGAAGAAGCTGTTAGAAGCCAAAACGAGAGATAAAGGAAAACCGTCGCAAAGAAAAAGTTGAATAAATTAATAATAATATACTCATAATAAGTTAAGTTTTATCATATAAATAAAATATATAATATGGTTTATAGTTCTAAATTTTATATTTTTATTGTTAAATGACCTCAAGTTCATCTTTTTATATCCATTTATTTATAATTTTTATCTTTCCTGTTTAGCATTTAAAATTTTGAAATGAATATTGATAAAAACAATTATAATTGTGAAATATAAAATAATATTAAAGTTAAATTTTAAATCAATTGTAAAGTATTATTAATATATACAAAATTACTTTGTTATTCATAAATGATATAAAAAAAGTATTTTTTTCCTATTAAATATTAAAAGTATCATCACAATTAACCACTGTTTTTTTTTTCAAAACTTCGACAGATTTCTTTTAAATATATATAGAAAAAACTTATTTATAAAATTAAAATTATTTTACTAATCAACGTGTAAAATATTTTATATTATTTTTCTAAATACTGTTTTTTGGTTTATAATATTACATGAAAATATAAGTTGTGAGAGAAAATCAAATGCAGAAAGATAAATAATTGAACTTGAAAAAATAAAAAAACGGAATAAGAGAGGGAGGTAAAACGTCAGAGAAAAAGAAATAATTGTATTAAAATTGAGAAATATATCTCATAAAGAGAAAGTAAAAGCAGTGCACAAGATAGCATTCTGAGGATAAAATTCATTGGTCATAGTCCTCTTAAACTTGGAATATTTATTTTTTTATTCTGAGCTTAAAATTATGCTCTTCAAAGAGAACCGGCAACTTGAAAAGAGATGAAATGGAGAGAAATTTGAAAATGTTAATCTTTTCATGAAAAAAATGTGGTAATTTATTTTAATATATTTGGTAGGTTCATTTTCATGAAAAAAAAAAATTATGACAATTCATTTTAATATCTTTGATACATTCATGGGAAACTTGATTAGAAGCAAGAAAGCATGAAGGTATTGGACAATGTAGATGAGCCATTGAATTTTACAAGTAGTAGGTATAAGAACAGGATACTTAACTTCGGAAGAGCTATAAGATATAGTTTTCTGCTTTTTGGATCTCTAGAAATAAGAGAATTGTCGAAGTATATGAAAAAATCCGTGATGAATTTTCAAGTTTCAAGATAGATAGTCTAATCTAAGTTACTATAGGCTTTAAACTAATGAAGATTGGTGTTACATAGGAATATCCCACTGACAAGAGTACCTTTAAGGTAGTGAAAAATGCAATAGGTGACTTGTTGGTGAGTTGTAGTAAAGGAGGAACACATACTGGCTAAGATGATTGCCTGAGAAAATAATGTATGAACAAGTGTTAGTGAGATAGATGAGACGTCTAATAAGTTTGCGATAAGAAGAAGAGTCTTCATCACTAAAAATCTCAACATAGAAGAATAAACCATAGGGTGTTGGAGTAGGTGAACAATCCAACATTCCAATTTCTTGAAGAAGATCTATTGTGTATTTTGGCAAAGGTAAATACCAGTGTTGTTGCAAGCTACCTTAATGCCAAGAAAATAAGTGAGGTCTCCAAGGTTGTTGATCTGGAAATGTGTGTTAAGAAGAGTGGTGATTTGATGAATTTCCTCAGTATTAATACCAATTAGGATGATATCATCCACATAAATAAGGAAAGCAATGGTGTGATGATTACCATGTTTCAAAAAAAGAGAATGAGAATGATCAATAAAAGAGCATATAAAATTATTACATAGAAGAAAATGTGAAAGTTTTGCGTACCATTGTCTTTCAGCTTGTTTAAGTACATAAAGAAATATTTGCAACATGCAAATTAGTGTTTTGTTTTTTACAGCAAGCCTTGGTGAAATCTTCATGTAAACTTCTTCATGAAGGTCTTCATGCAAGATGGCATTATTAACATCAATTTATTTGAGAATTCAATTGTTAGAGGCAACAAGGGCAAGTAAGAGGCAGAGTGATTAATTTGGCAACAGGTGTAAAAGTATTAATGAAATCCAAACATTCTAGTCAAGTATAGCCTTTAGCAACAAGGTGAGCCTTGTATCTTTCTATGGAGCCATCAAATTTGTGTTTTATTTTATATATCCATTTGCAACCAATAGCAGGTTTACAATATGGGAGGTGAATGATTATCCATGTGTTATTTGTTTCAAGGGATGTAAATTCTTTTGACATGGCTTGAATCCAATGAGTAGACTTAGATGCTTTAGTGTAACTACATGGCTCAGTATTGGATGAAATAGAGAAGATAATGTGTTTGAAAGAAGAGGATAAATAGTTATAAGATAAATAATTGCATATTAGGTCGGTATCTTACCGTGGTATTAGTAAAAGATGTATGAAAATCATTAAGATAAAGAAGAGATTTCCTTTGACGAGTTGAATGATGTGGTTGAATGAGTTTCATTATCACTAATGTCTCAGATGAACACGAATATCATCATCAGTAATGTCAATATTAATGTAATGAATATTAGTATTAATAGCATCAACATTAGTAACAAAATCATAAGAATTATCACAAACATTATGATGTAAGTTAATTTCTCCAGGAGTGAAATTATAATTGTCAGGTATAGGCAGTGAAAGATTTTAAGATTTAGGAGACTCATTAGATTTAATGTTATAAGGGAAAATAGTTTCATAAAAGTTTATATTGCAAGAAACATCAATTTTGTGAGTTTGTAAATTTAGAAAAAGAAATCATTTTATGTAGTGTTTGAAGCCAAGAAAAACACCAAGAACAACTTTAGCATCTAGTTTCTTTCAAATGAGCAATTAAGGTATTAGCATAGCAAAGGCAGCCAAAGACACGAAGATCAGATATGTCACACAAATAGAGATAAAGTTTTTCATAAGGAGAAACATTATCTAATAGATGTGTAAGTATGTAGTTAATAAGATATGCAACATGTTGAATGGCAAAATACCAAAAAATAATAGGAAGATTAGCCTGAAAAAGCAAAGTATGAGTAACATTCAAGAGGTGTTGATGTTTCCTCTCCAAAATGCCATTTTGCTCAAAGATTTCACACACAAGTAGTTTGATGTATGATCCCTTTAGCAGAAAAGAAATCATGCATGGCAAACTCGGCACCATTATCAATCCTTATATTTTTTATAGAGGTTTGAAATTGATTTTCAATTTGAGTAATAAAATGAACAATATTCTTACATACAACAGATTTATCAGACATGGAAATTATCTAAGTAAATTGAGAATAATCATCAACTAAGTGAGAAAATATCGATAACCACACATATAAAGAATAGAGTAGGATCCCCAAATATCAATATGTAAAATCTCAAAAGTGTTAGATGTATGAGAGGTGTTGGAAGAGAAAGATGATTTCTTTTATATTTAGCCTTGTGACAAGTAACACAAATATAAGTTTGTTCATTAGGAATACAAGAATACTTTGTTTTCAAGACGTTCAATCATTCGGTTGAAGAATGACCAAATCGTAAGTATCATAAACTAATGCCCATAGTAGTACAATTAAAAGCATAAACAAGATTTTTATTATTTGTCACTTTAGATGAAAAATAAGAAATATAGAGGCCATAATTTATCTTAACTAAACCAATCTTTTCTTTGGTTTTGAGATCATGTATAATGCAATTAGTGGAAGAGATAATCAATTCACAATTAAGTGGTGTAACAAGTTTAGAAATAGATATCAAATTGAAGCTAAAATGAGAAACATATAGGACATTAGTAAGTTCAAAGTTTTGATTACTATGAACCATTTTGGAATAGACAGCAGAAACCATATTTCCATTCAGTAAATTGATATTAATGGGATTTATTCTTTTATAAGAGGAAAAATTATTGAAAGAGACACAAATATGATTTGTAGCACTAGAATCAAATATCCAAACAAATTTAAAAGTCTTAGAACAGTAAATGAGATTGATATTACCTACAAACGAATGGTTGGAAGAGACAAAACCAATATGGTTTATATCGACTTGCGAGTTGGTCTTGGAAGTCTATTTTGAAAAGATCAAATAAAATATGATATTGCTGGGGAGTTATGCGGATGTCATTAACATCAATCTTCTTTTTCTCGTGATTATTTACCGTCCAAGTGAATATTCATGCTTCATAAAATAGACCTCTATAGGGTGACCATTTCTAACACAATGAGTGTCAACCCTCTTAGCATTAGAATTTTTGAAGGTCTTACTATCTTGACTTGGAAAACCATGCTTCTGAAAAGCACACTGACTTAGTGTGACCTGATTTTCCACAATAAGAGCAACAATATTTGGATGTTTGGGCTCTAGTAAGAGACATGAGACTTAATGTTGTTATAATGGTAATTCAAGCCACTAAGAAATTGTGTGGCTTGATCCTCCCTTTTTCTTTGAACAATAATGGAGTTTTACAGCCACAGATCGGGTTTGGTCTAAAGTTGTCCAATTCATCCCAAATGACATGCAATTTTGTGAAAAAAAAATCAAAAATAGAAATGATGAAGAGTAACTGCTTCCATTTGCAAGGTTGAGATATGAGTAGTCACCTTATGAGAAACAAATTTTTAGATCATTCCATATGTCACCTACTTTGTCCATCCAAATTATATTTTGACATATGGAGATGGAAACTGAATACATCAACCATGAAACAATCATGTTGTTACAACGATTCTATGCTGAGAATTCTTTGACATCTTTAGTAGGATGAGGAACGGTACCAAAAATGCACTTTTGTTCTTGGAACTGAGAGCCGTCAGCACAACCCTACTCTAGGTGTGATAATTAGTAACATCAAGAACGCTACTCCAGGTGTGATAATTAGTAGCATTAAGAACGAGAAAGAAGGGGTGCAACAAGATTCTCATTCTGATGTAAGTAAAAAAAATCTTTGAATCTCATTTTTTGTTTGCCATGGGAAAGGAAAAAATAAACAAAGAAAATGGGAAAAAATT